CCAATTGCAAAACCCTGGCAATATGTGTCAGGGCACTTGATGACAAAGCTTCTGAGAAAGTTTGGTCAAAATCCGTTGAGAAATGTAGGAGGAGTTGCGCACAGAAGAAATTGTTCACTATATATTTTATATAAGGAAAAAAAACAAAGGGCCATAATTAGGTCAAATATTATCTAATCGCAAAACCCCGACAATATGCACCAGGGCACTTGATAACAAAGCTTCTGTGAAAGTTTGGTCAAAATCTGTTGAGAAATGTAGGAGGAGTTGCGCACAGAAGAAATTGTTTACGCCCGCCCGCCCGCCGACAAAAAACAAAGGGCCAATATATACCAATTGCAAAACCCTGGCAATATGTGTCAGGGCACTTGATGACAAAGCTTCTGAGAAAGTTTGGTCAAAATCCGTTGAGAAATGTAGGAGGAGTTGCGCACAGAAGAAATTGTTCACTATATATTTTATATAAGGAAAAAAAACAAAGGGCCATAATTAGGTCAAATATTATCTAATCGCAAAACCCCGACAATATGCGCCAGGGCACTTGATGACAAAGCTTCTGTGAAAGTTTGGTCAAAATCTGTTGAGAAATGTAGGTGGAGTTGTGCACAGAAGAAATTGTTTACGCCCGCCCGCCGACATACCTCAATCTAATAACCAGTTTTTTCCTTCGGAAAACCTGGTTAAAAATTGGGTTTTCAATAGAACAGATAAAAAAAATTCTAATATTTTCAAAGATTTTGTTTCCGTGCCTGGTGTTGCAAGAAAAATGATGTTTGACTACGGACAAAAAAGCGGAGCTTCATTCTCTTTAACACAACCCTACGACATCAATTTATATGAAACATTTATGAATAATTTAACCGGCGGGCCCTCTTTAGTTTTGTTGGCATCACGCAGTTGGAAAAACTCATATAAGGAAAGAAACTAATGAAATATGTCAGTCAATATACGGATTTGACGCCACCAGTCTATATTTGATGGCTATCAGTACTGATTTGCCTGTAGGTAGGTATATCAGACGAAAAAAAGAAAACAACTTTATTCCAGAAAACAAAGTACATCGATGCACCGCAATGTACGATTGGATGAATTGGTTAAATTTTTAGAAGGGAAAAAATATCAATCACAAAATGAATAGCGGGCGTGAATATAGAGTCGGACCTTATTTAGTGGATGGATATGATCCTGATACTAAAGAAATCTATGAATTTTTGGGAGACTGGTACCATTCTTGTCCGTGCTTAGGTGGACGTGATGAAAAGCAAATAGCTAATTACAATAAAACAATAGCTAGACTAGACTATATCAGATGTCATAATTACAAAATTAATGTAATATGGGAGTGTGAACATCGGAAAGAGTTGAGAGAAAACTTTGTTTTAACAAATATATCTTTGTACTTTTGAAGTCATAATTCTTTGACTACCACTTTTGCTATGCCTTTAGCACATTTATCCTCCTGATTATTACAACTGAAAGCATACATTTTAGATCTAAGACCAAAATATTCTGAAATGCATTTCTCATTTGTCTCACTTTACAATCACTTTCTTATTGACATCCGACTGTAAAAAGTCTGGTGTGTCAAAAAGATTTAACAAAATCTGTTTGAACATGTTACTACAAATCATCCATTGAATTCTACACAAACAAAAGGAGAGAAAACCTCTAGCGGAGAGGACACTAGATGTTAATAATCAACCTAAAACAGGAAATGATGGAATTAGGCCTGAAACATAATCTTAAAATAAAGCATTTTTTAGGAAGAAAGTATTGGCTTCATCAAACGCTTTGGCGAAGACAAAGGCAGAAAACAGAACACTGATAAAAATATTGAGAGGAAATGAAATTCCTTTTCGAAGGCAGAACCAACTGCAGCCAATAAGAGATTATAAAGGAACCTCTAAAATATTTTCGGAGATTTAACCAATCCTTTGTTATTCAACACTTGTAATGACCTAACAAATGATTATTGTTTACATTCTTTGTCTTTTACCAAGTCAATAATTGTGTTTCAAAACGGAATAAGTGGACATAGCTTAAGGCTACGTTCATTTGGACAGGTAGATACATTTTTCCTCAATATTAAAGAGAGGACATAACCGGTAGTCATTTTTGAAAATTTTAAGTCAGAAAAATGTTAGTCTTATTTTGTATCATAAGTGCAGACTTTTCTTAGTTTTACTATTATTTTCATGTATGTAAGAGTAAAATTACACAATGCATTGACTTCCACCGTATACACCGGTATTGAGACATTCAATTTGGAATTATTATTATTATTATTATTATTATTATTATTATCATCTATTCATAAATATTTCAGGTCTGCTAATATCTCAAAGAAGACTAAGACAAAAACAATAGAATGTCAGCTTATGACACTGATGCAACTGCTGCTGGTAATAAAGCCACTAAGAACAAGCGTATGGGAAGACAATAAAAAACAGGCCTGTAATATTATCATCTGATGATGATAATGGATGATAATGATGTTGTTGGTGCTAAGGAAATGGAAAGAGTCCTATGATGCTCTCAAAGAAGTGCTTCAAGTTTTAACTTGTCTCAAAGCCATCTGGCAATGGAATATGAAAATATCTGAGGTGGTATTAGCAAACTACAATGTAAATTCTAAGTAAAAAAAAGGGCATTAATTATTTTAGTCAAAGTCAATAACTTTAATTATTCAACATTTGTAAGTACTGATCAAAAAAACAAAACATAGAGTGTCTTTTGTGAACATGTTTGCTTATTTTGATATTTATCTGCGTGATGTAATATAATTTAGCCTCTTTTTCAATAAATTTCAGTTGTGTTCAGTTTTTTTTCATTATCTTTTAAAAATAACATTCTAAATAACTGTTTGAAGTTTATGTTGATTTTCATTTGTTATTATTTCAATCCTAACTCTAAAATTGAATAGAAGATTAAGATTTTCAGCAGATGGGTAATCAAACAACAAGAGGGCCATGATGGCCCTAAAATTGCTCACCTGCATAAAGGCCCCCGGGGCGGGGCCAATTTTCACCAAGGGGGCTTATATTTGAACAAACTTGGTAAACACCCATTAGAAGATATTTCATGATAAATTTCGAAGCTCTAGCTCTTTGGAGTTTATAAAAGAAATTTTTTAAGTTTTTACTAAACAAATATAGGGAAAACAATGACCTCCCATGAAGGGTCAATTTTGACCCCAGGGCTTTAATTTGAACAAACTTAGTAGACACTCACTAGAAGATATTTCATGCTTAGTATCTAAACTCTAGCTCTTTGGGGTTTTTATTACAAGATTTTTTAAGTTTTTACTATACACATATAAGGAAAATCAATGACCACAGGGGCTGGGCCAATTTTAAATCCAGGGTCCTTATTTGAACAAACTTGGTAGACAACCATTTAAAAATGTTTCATGCTAAATCTTAGCTGCTCTAGCTTTTAGGGTTTTATCTAAAGAAGATTTTTTTAAGTTTTTACTAAATACAAAGGAAAATCAATGACCCCCGGGGGAGATAATTCTGACCCCAGGGCTTTTATTTGAACAAACTTGGTAGACACTGACTAGACAAAGTTTCATGCCAAATATTTGAGCCCTAGCTCTTTTGGCTTTTTAAAAAGAATATTTTTAAGTTTTTTGGTTGCCATGGCAACCAGAGTTCTGCATTGAATTAAATTCGTTGAACGATTTTTAAAGTTGACTACCAAAGTAACATTCCTGTGAAGTTTGGATGAAATTTGCTCAGTGGTTTATGAGGAGATGTTGTTTAAAGTAAAAGTTTACCAACGGATGACAGATGGACTTACAGACAAAAAAGCAATCACAAATGCTCACCATGCCACTTTGTGACAGGTGAGCTAAAAAAGTACTGTGTTAATAATCAATTATAGACTCAGCACACAAAATACAATATTTCAATGCTGTCCTAAAATTCTTATAGTTTTATTTGATATAGTTCTAGTATTTATAATTACTGAGTGCTGGATTAAAGCATTCATAATCCAATATTGAAATCAGCTTTTTTACTAAATATTGGATCACTTCATTCATTATCAAATAATAAAATATATTGTGTGTAGCCAAATATTGGATAAAATAAGTGTTTATAAGCATTCATAATCCAATATTTTCAAAACAATGATAAATATGATGTTGGAGTACAATAATCACAATCCAATATTTTAATGTATTGGACTATACAAGTGTTGCATTTAGGCAGCGCGATTGCGCGATGTGCAAATCGCGCATTTTAAGGAAGTCAATGCGCCAAGTCGCGCATCTGATGATCTTTTTTTATCTTCATATCTTGAACTACCTGCTTGAATGCTTCAGCCATATTTGTTTTCACTCGCGGTAATGACTAAAATATGTACTAAATCGCGTGTATCAGCCGAATTGGTCATCTCGCCAGTGTATTGTAGTATTCGTCAATATGTTATTTTTCTATTTCCGTTATTGAGTGTACGATAGCTGTCAAAAAAGCCTTAAAGATAAATGAATTATTTTCAGTATGTCATATTGTTAGGTAAATGCATGTCCCCCGCATTTTTTACAAATCCCCCACATTTTTCATTTGAGTGGGGGACAATTCCCCATAATTTTGAAATTCTAGAATGATGAAACACTGACTATACATATAATATCATAATTACACACATTATAATATGCTGTCAAAAGTTGAAAATAAAATTCTATAAAACATACCATTGTGGGCATGTAGTTTTGTCCCTTACCAGATTTTTTATAAAAACAGTTATATAATTATTTAATTCATTATAACCATTAGAGTATTTGTATTCCAGTGTATTATTACTGCAATCCTAATCTAATATTTAAATATAGTATCATAACAGTAAACCCTATCTGGATAGGATATGAGATATCATTTGGAGTTATTGCTTGGGAAGAAAATCAAAATCTTAAATAAACCAAAAGCATAAATATCAAAAAAAAAAAATATGTATATATATATATATATATATAATTATATAAAAGGTCAATCTATAATATAAGATCACATGTTCATATAATCAACTAATCTATACTATGTGCCACTTACCTGGTGCCATTAAGTTCACAACACAGCAAGATGGTTTACATCGAACTTCTTGTAGCATCATAATTTTTCACACACAATATATAAAGTTAAAATCAGTTACCAAATCATCAGTCTTTAGATTTGAATTTACTTTGCTCATTAATCCAAAAAGAAAACACCAGTGTTTAATATTTTGTATCAAGTTCTTAAAATAGAATCCAGAAATATTAAACCGGTAGTTGTAGATGACAGTTCATATTGTCTCTCTGGATCACCAAGTTGTTAAAAAATTACAATAAATTTCAATCCAGGCATCAGTCAGATTTTTTTTTTTTTTTGACGAAAGTATGTCCCTTTCACATGCTTAACACTTTCAAAGTTGAAATATTCTACTTGTTTCTTATCAATCCATTCCACAAAATAATATTGAGATTTCATGCTGCTCCAGGTACCTAAAAATAGGCACCTGATATTTTTCGGTCAGTTGTTGTCTATGTGTATTTTATGCATCTGTTTATAAATGTTCACAGTTCTTCATCATTATTTCACTTAAAAATCAAGCAAAAATTAATTCCAAATTACATCCTTGATACTGGAACAAAAATGCTATCAGTTCATTTACTTTATAATCTTTATTTGAATCCCTAAACACTTTATGGTTGTAGCTACAGTTCTAGTGCTATTTGTAAATTTAAAAAAAAATGCTATTTTTCTGCTTGAGCTATATAATATTTCTAATGAACATTTTATCTTTTTTAATCTAAGTTCCAACACCAAGGGGCATCCATGCTCAGGAATAAAATTTCTTCTCATTTGATTCTAATTACTCTATCAACAAACTTGTAACTTGACTTAAATACTATCTGCAATTGTTTTTTGTTGATGTTTTTTTTTGCGTAGAATATGTCAACAAATTATTCCACACACATATTATGCAGTTTACACTTTTAAATCAATCAGTCACCTTTGACCTTGAACTGTGTCCCACTTCCTATCAAAGGTGATGGTATCCATGGAAACAGAAGAATCAGGTACCATCTTTTACCCAGTACCTCTTTCAAATTATGCAGAATTCCATTATTGTACTTTTTTATATTCTTCTTCCCTTCATATCTAGTTTGTCCAAATATGATTTGATAAATCTGAATGTATAGCAACCACGACAATAGTCCCAACATCACCGTGCCAACCGTTGTCAAGAAGGTGATTGCAAACACATACAGGTCATAGTAACCCATTAACCATCCCATATGCGGTGCAATGTACGATAAGAACGTATAAAGAGTAAGATGACCTTTCACCGACACCACAAAGGTCAAATTGAAAATATTACAGTACAGGGCAGCCATCACCATATGTGTTACCATGGCAACATAGTACCTATGATTGTAATAGCCAATACAACAACCTGTAAACCAGCAATGGTGGTCCCGTTTAAGAATACAGGTGTCACAAAGCTTACAGTGATATGACCTTGGAGGAAGGTTAAGGTCACAATCAGAGCAGTATCGCCAGCCTTCAGGTAGTAGGGAAAATGAGATAAATCTGAACCTTGTCCTAGATGTGTTCATTGTTACAATTTTGTACATGTTTCCATAAATGTTTACAGCAAAGAATGCTGTGACGGCATAGTGAATACATAGTTCCTGGAATCTTAACTTCTCTTCTTCAGGATTGTTATGAACTACTGGATAGTATTTAGGAAGGATATGGCAAACTTCGTACCAGAGTAGAAAGACACCACCAATACTGAATGTAAGAAGGCCTACAGCATCATATCTGTTGCTAGGTAACTGCAGTGACTTTGTTACAGGGCCAGCTGGAAAATGTGTCATCGTGGCAAACTGAAATCATAAAAAAATATAAAATATATAAGTTTAATAGTTACAAACACTTCAATAAAATAAGGAAATCTACATCTGGCCTATTGCAGCAACCTATATAAACTTATTAATAATAATTTTGAGATATCACTATTTCGTAACAACAATCTGGCTTCTAATCAGTGACTTTTTCCCTGTATTTTACAGCCGAATATAGGTTGTTTACCCTAGCTCAAAATAGGTACAGTTTTTTTCCCCTACATGTACATATGCTTATATTCTCCCCTAATATGCCCTGTGCACATTTTTCAAGTTACAGCAGATGAATTATCAGCTAGAAGACAGAAAGCTGTCACTACAGGTAGCCTATGATTATTATAATAATGTACCATGCATTTTAAATGGAATTGAAATTCTCAGTTGCCAGAATATTTATTTCAATGTTGACCCCTTTTCTGATTTATTGCATTATTATTTTCTCTGTCAGAAAGTCACAGGTTGTTTTGAAAATAGAAAAAAAATCATTGCTGATCACATATAAGATCAAATTATATATCAACAATGTACAGAGCTTAGATTATTGAGGTAGACCTTTCTGAACCTTTAACAGTTTGTTTGACATGCAGAACTTCTTCAATTCAAATTAGTCTATTTCAAGATAAAAATCGATAATTAGTCAGTTTGTTTGATTGGGCTTTACGTCACACTGACACAGTATAGGTCATATGGTGACGTTCCAGATTTACTGGTGGAAGAAGACATCGGGTGCCCTATGCATTTTTTCACGCACAAAGACCACCAGAGCAGAACCACTGAGCTAGCTGGAAAGCTTCCTCACATGAAGGGATCCAAAGTCCCTGTTGGGATTCGAACCCACAATGGTGAGGGGAAAGTATTTTGAAGTCAACGACCATTCCCATTCGGCCACAGACATCCCAAAAATTAGTCAGCCGACAGAGCAGAGCCAGAAATCAAAAGCTTATAACTTTCAATCCAGTATCATTTGTCAGATTTTAACCATTTCAATTGCCCCTCAAAATTGTCAAAACAGTGCTTAAACCCATTTTATGATGACTTAATAAATGTGTTAAACTTTTAACCACTCATACTAGTAATAAAATTCTTAGATTTTCAACATTTTCTTTGCTTCTAAACGACAGTTTGTTCTTATTTTGTTTTACTTACAAATGGTTACAATACAATCATTCAAATATGGAGTAACTCATAATTTCCGATATGATCAAACAGTACTCTATCAGATCAGAAATTGAGAAAACAAGAGCACCGCTAGGTGGAATATTATATGCCCAAAAGTGTTGTTTTTCTTATTTTAAGGATGAAGCATTAATTTTGTAAGACATGGAAATTAAATATAGTATTACCTCCTTCAAATAGCAATCCTCCTATAAAGTTTGAATATTATGAGCCAAATGGAACTTAAGTTATATTTTCAGTTCTTATAATGTTTTCTTTTCATACAATACTGAAAATAATATCTCACATACACCACATAACGCCACATATTTGATCCATATCAGTTAATAAATATTTTGACAAAACTGCGCCAATCCGTAAGCAACGTAATGACGTCATTCTAAGTATACAACTGTTTAAAAACACCGACGTTATTTCATACATGATAAATGGGACACTGATCTATAATCTAGAAGTTATTTCCCCTTGAAAAATTAACATTTATGATCTTCCTAATTTTATTGTGTAAGAATTTAAATAATATCGGTCTTAGCAGTGTTTATCTGCTATTCAACACAGTTTTTTTGGTTTTGATGCTAAACGGCCTTCGTGGTCAATTCATATGCATCAAAACTCCAAACCATTGTTAAATGGCTGATATTTTTAACACCGCTAAGACATTGTAAAAACTTGTACCCTGATAATGCATGTATCTTTAACCTACCCCCTCCCACCCACCCGGGCCTCTGTGAAAACAGTCATGGTTTCTTATGAACTTGTCATCATCAATATTAACAATTTGCGTTATCATAATATTCCTTGTACAAGTAACTTACTTGATATACATGATATACAATAGATTATATAACAGCAACTGAGTTCTAGCTAAGTGCCTCAGGTACAAATTTATCTCATTTAAGTTATATTCTACCATCAGCAACTTGAACTAGTTATACTATATATCATAATTACACTAAGTCTATGAAATTACATCATCTGGACTTAATTGTATACATTATCTATTGTATATCAATATAAAAAATGTCTGCATAATTCTATAATTTATACAAATTTAACCTAGAAATGATTAAAAGGATTTGCCCTAACTTAAATTTGGAACAAACCATATGAATTTTAAGGGATTTCAATGACAACAAAATATTTAAATTACTAAAGCTTCTGAAATATTATGTAAGAGTTTGGTGGGTTTAATTACAATATTCTCTAGTAATTTTCTAACAGGTTATAATAGAAAAAAATAAAATTTCCATACTTTTCCCCATCATCAACATCCTCAATACAAAAAATTCTACATTTTACCTTTTTTGGTGTACATGTCTCTGTCTTCATATAAATTTTTCTCCATTTTTCTTTTCGTATCAATTTGTTATTAAGCAATTATATTATTTTCAAAATAAACTTTCACAGTTTAGAAGAAATGTTTTTGTCTAAATTTGCAAAACTCCCTCCATGTTTTTTTTTTCTTTTTTTTCTTCTAAATTTTCAGTTCACTTCACTTTATCAATTCTACACCTGTATATCCAGTGACAATATTTTACCTTCTATTTCGAGATCCACCCCATTATGAACAGCCAAGCATATCAATTTTTTGCCATGTATCATTAAGGCTAAAGTTATCTTGATGCAGTTCAGCGAGTCTGTAACAAACAGGTTTCAAACAAAAACCGGGGTAAAAAGTTGATAAAATGACAAAC